GCTTTTTAAAAAAAGAAAAATTGGTAACGAATTAAGAGACATCCTCACTGAAAAAAGAAAAAGAAAAAAAACGCAACTTAAATGCAGCACTATTTAATAGTTGCCTTTTTGGTCTAATTTTGTTTTACCTCCAAACCATGTAGACAAGAAGTCAAAAGGGCTTTATTTTACAAGGAGAAAAAATGACCCATTTGTTAGAAAGCTGGCTTTTATACAACACTTTTTGTTTAACTAAATGTGGACAGCTTTAATTATGTTGAGGAATACAGAACATGTTCTTTTTGTATGATTTGGTTTTGTTCTGAGTCCTTTGTCATGTGTTGGTTTTATATTAACTTTTTGTTTTCATGCTGGTTAACCCAGGGGTTGTTGATGTGAAGTTAAACCAGAGGCACTCTTAGTATATTTAGTCAACTTCACAGGACTGTTAACCCATTTTAAATGTATTTCTGTACGCCTGTTGCTATTTAATTTTAGTTTTCACTTCCCAAAAAGCCAAATTTTGAATTACAGAGTACATATAATTTTCTCACTTGACAACATTCAAAAGGGATGCACTAGTCAGACTTTCTCCATGCTTTAGTGTAAGTGAAGGTCAAACAACATTTAGACTCTTACATTATTATTATTATTTTTGGCATCATTCTATATTTTAATGCACCAGGAAAGCAGGAGTATCAGGGCCTTGCATGCAATAAGGTACAAGAAAAATACATTTTCCTGGTCAGCTACTCGTTGCCAATCTCAAGTTGTTGAAAGACCACTGCTTCCTTCCGCATGACGTATTCAATGATCAGCTGTCCACTAACATATCGCTTTATGCTGGACAAAGAAGAAATTGTGGAGTTCTCTGCATTTGTATTCTCTCTCTTTTCTTTTTCTTTTCCTTTTTTTTTTGAAAAGATGAACTTATATATTTTTGCAAAGTCTGCATTTATTTGATTTTATTGTATAAGCTGTATATTTCTTCCTGTAACAGATACTCTATGTATGTTTTAAGTGGATCCCTGTGTTGCAGTGACTGCACACCAGTGGTTACTGGACACCCTTTCCTGGTGGGTTCGAGAGCAGTGCCTTTAATGAGAGGTGCAGCTTCTAAAATAACCGTTTTCTCATGGAATGAGGGGCTTGTCTCAATATCCACCACAGAAGGGTTGTCTGCACTTGTACAGGCTTAACCTTGTCCCCTCACAATGTGTACCTTACACTGCTGAGTTTATAATCTGTACTGGGTACAATAAACTGTCCATTCTGCTTCACTTGCACTCTTGCCTTCTGCTTTTTCTTCTCCCACATGTAAGTATTTCAGTGACAGAGTAGCCACATGTTTGATTTATATATAAATATACATACAGTACTGTTCAAATGGTTGGGGTCAGTAAGCTTTATTAATGTTTATGTTTGCCAAGACTGCAAAAATATACAGCAAGAGTAATAATGTGAAATATTATTACAATTAAAATGACAATTTTCTATTTTAATATATTTTAAAATGTCATTTATTCCTGTGATGTCAAACAGAATTTTCAGCATCATTACTGCAGTCTTCAGTGTCACATGATCCTTCAGAAATCATTCTAATATGCTGGTTTGATACTCAAGAATAATTTCTTATTATTAGTGTTCAAAACACTTGTGCTGCTTATAATTTTTGTGGAAACGGTGATTTCCATTTTTCTTCCATGACCATTTTTTAAAATTCTGTGGTTAATAGGAAGTCTAGAAGAACTTGAAAATATATACAGGTGCATCTAAAAAAATTAGAATATCGTGAAAGTTTTTTTATTTTTTTTACTTATTTCAAAAAGGGAAACTTTCATATATTCTAGATTCATTACATGCAAAGTAAAACATTTCAAAAGTTTTTTTATTTTTTATTTTGATGATTAGAGCTTTCAGCTCATGAAAGTCAAAGTCCAATCCAGTATCTCAAAATATTAGAATATTTATATCTGAGTTTCATTAAATGACCATCTCTACAGTATAAATTCTGGGTATCTCTTTTTCTTTGAAACCACAATAATGGGGAAGACTGCTGACTTGACAATGGCCCAGAAGACAATAATTGACACCCTCCACAAAGAGGGTAAGTCACAGAAGGTCATTACTGAAAGGAGTGGCTGTTCACAGAGTGCTGTATCAAAGCATATTAAATGCAAAGTTGACTGGAAGGAGGAAATTGGGTAGGAAAATGTGCACAAGCAACAGGGATGACCGCAAGCTTGAGAATACTGTCAAGCAAAGCCAATTCAAACACTTGGGAGAGCTTCACAAGGAGTGGACTGAAGCTGGAGTCAGTGCATCAAGAGTCACCACGCTCAGACGTCTTCAGGAAAAGGGCTACGCAAATCCTTTTTTTGATTGATCTTAGGAAATATTCTAATATTGTTATATTATACTGGATTTTTGACTTTCAATCATCAAAATGAAAACAAAAAAAACTTTTTAAATGTTTTACTTGTAATTAATCTAGAATATATGAATGTTTCACATATATGAAAGTTACAAAAAATGAACATTTTCACGATATTCAAATTTTTTGAGATGCACCTGTACATATATTTTATTATATACATTATTAGTGCTGTCAAACGATTAATCGATTATATTTATTATGTATATATAAATACACACACATGCATGTATATATTACCTTATGTTATATATATTATTCTGTTCATATGTGAGAACTATAAAGGCTGTTTTAGATAATGGGCTGGCAATTGCTTTCTTGCACTGAATCTGAAACTCTATTCTCTATCGATCAGCCTTTATTCAGTTAAAGGCCTTTTGCTGTCCCAGGGGCTGCACTGCCCTTTCATCAGGGCTTTAGATGGTTAGCTAATGTGTGTCTGCTCATATGGTCATGCTGTAGGCCTCCCATCTATGATTATTTAATAACTTTGTATGGATGGGTGAGCAGCATGTGTGATACTATATCTTGCACTTATGTCATAACATCCACAACCTCAATTATTCATCCAAATCCATTTATAAGCTGTATACTGTTTGCACAACACAGTGCATTTATACTTTAAGCATTTTCCTTATCTTTTCATTCTCACACTAAGACTGAATTCATAATTGCACTCTGTCTTGATGAATTTCATCCAGGAAGAACTGAAAACAGAGATGCTCCAGATTGAGGCTGATGTTGGATCTCCGTGGCAACATTCCTTCCCCCCTCTGCTCTAGAAAAGCACTTAACCTTTGAACCCACCTACTTCCCTGTAAATAACCCTGCAGTCAACACAACCATTTTATTTCTAGCCAACTTCATGCTGTAGTCTATAACTGACTAATGCAATAGAGAAGAACACTACAAGCAATTTATACATTCATCCAAAGAAGTTAATGGCTAGTTCCATTAATATATATTTTGCACTGTGGTCTGCTAATGACTGTTTTAGTGAAGTATTGATTTCACTTAGCAGAACGACAGCTAATGCATACCATTTGCTTAGGGTACGTCTTTTAGTACAATGAAGCAAGAAAGAGCTACAGATGTGACATGATCTAACTCACTACTGTTTATTTTGCCATGTAAGCAACTGTCCACCTGCTGAGACACAGACAGAAATTAAATTAACTGTGATTATAATACATGCTCTAATTAATTAACTTTATTTCCGACGAGGCAATTCCTGGCACTCAGAGCTTGACCTTTTTTATTTAGACATTGATCTTTTAATTTACTTTAATTGATTAATTAAGTAATTCGTTTAATGCTATAATTTACCATAATATAATTATCTATGATATAATAACTTAAGCATTTATTCTTAAAATGAATTTGAATGTTAAAAAAAGCACCGGGAAAGGCGTGTCTTTCTTTTCTTTTTTCTTTTTTCAATAACTAGTTAAGAGTATGATAGGCTTTTCCTGCTTATTATAAACCCAATCCAAGTCATGAAGCGGGTTCATTCATCGTGGTTTGTGTTCTCTCTAGTGGCCATATTAATAACTGCATTTACACGCTACTAACCACCAGGCTCTGCACACTAGGAATCACCTATGCTCGTTTTATAAAGCCATATTTGGTTATATAACAACTAAAGAGTCTCATGATTTTGGTTAACAAGGTATTCATAAATAATTGATCATTTTCGGTTTTGTTTTTCACTTGTTGTAAACAGCTTTCTATAAGGGTCAGTAGAGGACGAAGGAAAAAGATGTACCTTCTTTTATCATATTTAATAACACTTAATTTAGGGACATGCCATAAAAATTGCAAAAATGTAGCCATGTCTGATTTTGTTTTTGTAAAACCAGAGGCAAAAGATGAATTTCAGTATTTAATGTGAATTATATTTATGGTCTAATTATTTTGTTATTGTTTTAATTAACTGCATCGTGGTTGTATTAAACTGAACCTGGAGACAAGAAATCACAATAAATACCCTTATAAATAATAAGAAAAGAACTGTCAAAAACAGTTATATGTGCCTGTATCATAATGGCCATAAGGACAATTTTGAGATACAATGCAATACGTCACGACGTAAAATAATGAATCGTTGATTTCCCGTCAGAACTCATTCACAACTGATAACATCTCAGTGAGCGTTAAAATTAACTGGTCAAAATCGTCAAGTTAATAATAACATAAGTGAGAGTAATTATTTTTACTCTCCTATCGTGCGACATTTTCGTGTAATTTATATGTAAATTGCATGCTTACCTGGCGCTAGTTTATTAATAAATCGCGCAGCTGCAGCGCCTAACGTTAATCATTAGCAGGGCGCTTTACCTGAGGTGGACAAGCTCTATTGTAGTTTTGTTGTCGATAATAACTGGTGCAAACATATTCTAACTGTCTTTTCCTTGAATTTGGTCATTTAAATAGTTTCAGAACATGTGGTACCCTCAACCTGTCGACGTCGTACCGTTACCGTTCGTCATGGGGTCACATTCAATAACACACGAGGATCTTTCTGCCAGAGCCATGTGGCCAGTCATTCCCTTTGACCAACGTGCGTATAATGCAGTGAACGAGATTAATGGTAAGTTATATCGAGCCCAAAGAAGTCGGGTTGGGGTTGGTCATTTCTGAACGAGGCTTTAAACCTGGCGTATTTTGGGTAAGTTAATACATAACGGTCCACTTTACCCTGTTACCCTATTCAGAATAAATCGTGGGTTTACCCATTTTTCCTCCGTGCATGGAGTTTTCTTAATTTAAAGAAAAAACACTCAAAAAAACATAAAATCGTAGTGCTTTGGATATGAACGTGTTTTCGTGTTTTGGTAGACCATGTAATACCGCTGAGCGATACATTTGGTCCTTTTTAACTTTCCAGCGCGCGGGCATTTAACATCAGTGCAGTGCTTCCGGTGTCAACCGCTTCCAGTTATTTAAGCGGTACTAAAAAAAAAACGTAAGCTGCTTGATATTGCAAACCAGTATTTCTTATCATATTATTTTAATTTATCATCGTAATAATAAACACTGCTTTGTAGTGCAAATAGTTTTGCAGTTTAATGCACTTTATTTATTATTCTATTTATTTCCCTAGAGCAGCTAATGAATCTAAAGTCTCGCATGTTCATAGAAAATAACGTTAGCTTACTTTCGCGTGGATATACCGTGTCGACAGTATAATTTAGGTAACGTTAACGTTATGTAGCTCCATCGCTCGTTTTCGGCGCGCGCATGCTCTGTGTGGGGCGCGTCGTCGCGGTTGTGTGGTCAACGGTCAACAACTCAAGACGCGGTTAAAAGTTGGACTTGGCTAACGTCTTTTTGGGTGAACTAACCCTTTAACTTTGAGTGATAAATGATGACAAAGGTATTGTAAATGTAAAATTAGGGGAAATGAGCAGCACAATTATTGACTAATAATTTTATATTTAGAAAATGAAGGGTGGGGACTGAAGTGTTCTATGCATTGGCTGTTGTCTGGATTTTGAGATGTGGTGGTTGCTCTCAAAAGTTGAAAGCAGAAATATATATGCATGCATATGTGTCTGTGTGTGTGTGTGTGTGTTTTAAAGGTCAAGGCACCCATCATTTTATGGTGCATCCCAGTGTCAAAATTGTGGAACCAGTTGTTCATTTGGTTCCAAGAAGTGCAGATGTTGTGGCTTTCGCATTGAGATTTCAGAAGGCAAAGTCTGTGTGTCGGGTGAGATGTTATAGTCCTGCCATAGACTTTTGAGACATCACTAGGAGCTAGAATACTGATTATTGCTTTCTTGTTCAGAGAATGAGAAACAACTTGAGCTGCTACCAAACAGTGTGAAAGAAGAGCTGAACGTCTTAACTGCCCAATATGACGCAACTGTTGGTTGCACGCAGAGCACCCTTAATACTCAGAAAACAAGATGCACGCAGAGCCATGATTATGGAGGCCGTGCTGCACATCCTCCTTCATACAGTAAAGGAATGTGTCCCCATGCCCAGTGCCTGTCTAAGTTGTGGGAGGAAGTAGAGAACAGGGAGGACACCAAACACTTTAAGGACACAACAACCCAGGCGAATTTCTCCCTCGATATGGAGCTGGATATGCAGAGTCAGGTTCAGAGGAATGACTATACCCAAAATTACCAAGACCAATCTTATGTACAAGTGGAAGAAGCAGATTACCATAATCTGGATCAGGAAGCGATGCCAGAATACTACAGTTTCAGTAACACCAGTTTAGACCATTCCACATGGAGCGATGGCACCCGGAGTACGGACGCAGCCTGCAATGATTCAGTCATGGCCACCAAAGGCAGTACAGAACTATCAGATGAACCATCAAATGCCACCATGGCCACTGCTGCGAACTCTACTGATTGTTTCTCTTGCCTTGGCAATTCTTTCGAGTCAGGAGACCATCAAGAAGACATAAGAAAGAAGCATGACTCAGTATATGAGCAACAAATTGAGGAGATCAATGTGGGACCTTCACTGAAATCCAAATGTGGTGCTTCAGTTTCTGTGGACCAAATAATAGATGCCTGTGGTGATTTCAGAGCCTGTTTCACATCTACATGTGCAACAGAGGTTGATCAGATCTTCCAACTGAAAAATGTTGCCACTGACACAGACCTGCTAGCAGTCAGCCATGAGAAAGATACACAGACTGTGCAAATAGCCACATCTGAAAAGAACACCATTACTGAAGTCTGCATGTCTGATTTAGATGTCCTCACAGAGGTATCATAATTTCTAAATGGTATGGTTGGAGTTGTAATTTCTTCTTTTCAAATGAGCTGTGTATAACGTGCTCATCATTTACTCCTAGGAATTCATAAAGCTAAAGGAGACAACGAATGAGCTGAAACAACTGAAGAGCAGAAAGGCAAGGTAATTTGCTGAAAATGTTAGTTTACCAAAAAATGAAAATTGTCATTTACTCACTCTCATCTCATTCCAAAGCCCATAAGACTTTTGTTCATCTTCTAAACGCAAACCAAGATACTTTTAATGAAACTTTCTGGGGAAGATTTCTGAGCTTCATTTGAAAGTGCATTCCACCAAAACTTTGACACTTAAAGTTCATAAAAAGACTGTAAACGGAATCAATTTGAATTGAGCAATTTAAACCAATTCTGACGAGACGCAATCAGTTTATATGATGAACAGATTTAATTTAGCCTTTTTGTCACTTTGGTCAATGCACAATACATGGAGTTCATGGAATATCATAAAAGCTGAGCTTCCGTTTCTTGCTCGACACACAAGAACAAACCTCATTGGTGCTCGTGCATCAAGCAAGCACATCTGATTTGCCATTTACCTTTTTTGATGTGCTTTATGCATGTGTGTTGATCAATGTTTAAAGGGGTCATATGATGCGATTT